CCTTTTAGACTTCACAGACCTGTCAGCTCACAGTAAGATCAAGACGGCCCAATTCCCAGAGAACAGAGAGGAGAGGAGCGCAGACGCACACCGCCATACTGCCCACAAAATGTTCCCAAACAGATTCACAGCGCTCCTCGAGAAACACTCACACCTCTGTGGAGAAAACGGCCCAAATCTGCACTAATCACTGTCTGAACAGGAAACAGATCTGTTCCAAAACCTAGTGGGCTGCCTACCTAGACAGCATTTAAAGACTAATTATGCTGCTTTCATTTGGCCAAAAATACCAGAACATTTCAGCTAGCGCAGCAGGATTATTTTCTTTATAATATATGCATATATTTATTTAATATATGCTTATTAAAGTCAACATGAAATTACAATTCATGGAATATTGCAGAGTTTATTATAAATCTCAGTGTTTGTTATTTCACAGTTTCTTAACTTTACTGCCTTCATTTGACCAAATCCTTTTGGCGAAAAAGGCCAGAATACCAGAATGCATTACAACGAGTGCAGTGAAAAATCTGATTCAAATTGCTCTTTGATTATCTTTATGATTTGAAATATTTCATATTTTAATATTTAATGATTTAGTGTATAATATTTACAATATTTCATACATGCATATACTGTATTTCATATTTATTTAATATATCCATATATTTATTTAATATATGCTCATTAAATCAGACAATTCTTATTTTTCATATAATGCTGCAGTGTTTATTAAATAATCCATTTAATTTGTACAGCACTATTTCTTAATTATGCTGCCTTTCTTTTGGCCAAATTTTCTGGGCAAAAAGGCCAGAATATCTGAGGACATTGTAACAAGTGCAGTGAAAAATCACTGTTTGTTTATTTACGTCATTTATTTCATATATGCTTATTAAAGTCAACATGAAATTAAAATTGTTCATTCTTATTTTTTGGGCATTTTGGATGTGAAATTTACGGCGATGCCAAGCTGAAAGATGTTAGAGAGAACTATGTGAAGTGTTTTGAAAAAGTGGCCTAAGTATTAAGAAATGTGTCCTAATGATTGTAAAAAGAAACAACAACAACAACAAAACTGTAATAGCCAAACTAAAAATGTATTTTTGCACTATGATATGACATTAATATGTTAAGCTTGGGTGTTATTTATGTCTAGTAATGTCTCTGAAATAGAATGTTCCAAATCAGTCATGATGTTCCATTTCAGTTATGATGCTCCCTTAGAAGGCAGCTGTCTATGTAGAAAGCAAAGCTATTAACACACACTTTGTCTCTCTCTCTTTCAGGTTCTCAGGCATTGGCTGGTTCTTCTTCTGGTTCCAGTAAGTACCGAACCCTCAACAAACGAGAGGACAAGTCTTTGATCCTCTCTGATATGTCAGTCATCCCTCGCTCTCTCTTTCTTCAATGTCTCTGTGCTCCATCCCTCGTTATGTCTTCTTAATTTTTCATGGGCCGCCCGTCCTGTGGCTTTCATCATCGTCAAACCGCTGAAACTAGCCGCAATTCAGCTCAACATCAGAGAGCAGTAGGAAGAAAGATAGAGTCAGATACAGAGAGAAGCAGGAAAGATGACGTGATTCCTTGAGGCTTCAAACAGAATAAGAAAGATTTGAGATTCACTCTCAAGACACGCCTACAACATCACATGCACAAAACTCACAGGCAAGCACACAATATCAGCCCACATCTAAGAAGGGATTTCCCAGAAAACAACAGTACAGTACAGCTGGTGGGTCGATCTCAGACACAGACCTACAGAAATTCACCATGGGAACCATAGTTCCAAATCACCAGATCACCATAGTTATGGGAGTTATTGTTACAACTTTTGTAACTTGGTGTTGTTATTGTTAACTAGAACCAATAAAAATTATTTTTGTTAATTGAAATAAAAACAGAAATATTGTATGAAAACATAAACTTAAAAAATATAAACGAAAATTAGAAATGTTGCCTTGGCAACTAACCAAAATAAAATAAGAAATTTAACAATTTAACTGAAATAAAATAAGTTTAAATCAATGTACTAAAATTACTAAAATTGAAATAAAAATGAATTAAAGATTAATGTAAAAATTATTTGAAATTACAAACACTAAAATATAATAATAACAAATAATTAAAAATACAAGCACATAACAAAATTACTATAACTTAAAAATAAAAAACTACAAATATAAAATAAAAGTTAATTTAAAATATTAATAACTATCATTACTCCGAGACTTAGCTTTCATAACTCAGCATCAACTTGTTTTAAATTTGTGTGCGTAAGTATCTGTATATATAGTTGTTGTTTTTTAATAATTATCATAGCTTAATTATTATATTTTATTAAATAACTAAATGTGATATTTTAATTTTAATTAGTTTTTTAAATTTAATTTCTAATTTTACAAGTTTTTTATTTAATATAGTTAGAGAGAGGAAAAAATGGCAGAAAATGACAGAAGAAAAAAAAAAAAGCCTTCCATATTAATTAAAGGTGATTTTACAGTAGTAACTCCTTCTTGCAGGAATTATGGTTACCATGGTAAATTATTTATTAAGACGGTGGTCAAGTGTCATTTTGCTACTTGTAGTTTCAGCTGTCTTTTAGATTAGAGAATCATCATTTTTTTCTCAAAAAGAGGTCAATCAACTATACCTTTATCAGCTGAAGCAACCCATCCCGTGCCAGTTGCTGTTTCCATGGCAATGACCACCATGCCAGCGCCCCTGACAACCAAAAAGATGGACTGTTTCTTCAACCGTGACTCATCACACAACCAAAGCTCTCAAGCTAATCCAAAATTCAGCTTTTACCACACCTGGCAAAAAATACAAGACATAAGCCTTAAAAATAGCAATTAACTGACCAATTACTCACTACAGTTGCATTTGCTGAGTGTGAATTTTGGACCCTGGGTGTCGCTACGTGAAGGTGGAGTTAGATAGAGGACGTGTTTGGAATGCGTGTTAAAGTATTTTAAACACATTTGAAAGATTGCAAAACACTTATAACTGCAAAACGGTTTACAAAACACATGCGGTTTAACTCTGCCAGAAAGTTTTCTCAAACACGCTTGACTTTATGCGTTGTGACGGAGCATGTTTCAAGAAATGCTGAGTAGATCTCTGCCCGTCCTGTCGCCGTAGTCATAGTCTCATTTTAAAACTGCCTGTGTTCCCGTGGAAATGCACTTAGTGGAAGTGAAGCCCGGGACGCCGTGATGTCAGGACTTTAAGAGTGTTTGTGTAACATCGTAAAGCTTCAAACTGCCTTCCAGCGACATAATGCTGATGCATTCAGGAAAATTAGCATGATTCCATATCAAAAGGAAATTGTGTCATCCTCAGGGCATCCAAGATTTTTCATCAGGACAGATTTGGAGAAATGTAGCATTACATCACTAGCTCATCAATGGATGCTCTGCAGTGAATGGGTGCCGTCAGAATGAGAGTCCAAACAGCTGATAAAAACATCACAATAATCAACACCACTCCAGTCCATCAGTTAATGTCTTGTGAAATGAAAAGCTGCATGTTTGTAAGAAACAAATCCATCATTAAGATGTATTTAGCTTTAAACCGAGTCCTCTACCCATAACACTGCTTTCTCCAGTGAAAACGTTGTCTTGTCTGAATCAGGAGAGAAATCTGCACAGATCAAGCACTGTTTACAAGCTAAAAGAGTCCAAAACAAATACTGTATGCTGGTGGATTTTGATGTGAGAGACAACAGGGGATGGACTTTTTCACTGGAGGAAGCGTCATTATGGATTATGGACTTGTATCACAAAACGTCATATTTGATGGATTTGTTTCTTATAAACACGCAGCTTTTGGCTTCACAAGACATTAACTGATGGACTGGAGTGGTGTGGATTACTTGTGGATTATTGTGATGTTTTTATCAGCTGTTTGGACTCTCATTCTGACGGCACCCATTCACTGCAAAGGATCCATTGCTAAGCAACTGATGTGATGCTACATTTCTCCAAATCTGTTCCCTTGAAGAAACAAACTCATGATCTGGGATAGCCTGTGGGTGAATTATTTACAGCAAATTTTCATTTTTTTTGTGAACTATTCCTTTAAGGCAACAACACATGGCTCTTTTTGGGTTGTGTGTGTGTGTGTGTGTGTGTAGCATAGAGAAATCAAACTCATAGATCATGTCCATGTTTTCTCTCCCCTGTAGTCTAAGGGTCCAAGGGTCTCCCACACTTACACAAACACACATGCTCAAACGTGCAAGAAGAGACAGAGATGATATGTAGGCCAGTGTGTGCGTGTGTGTGTGTGTTCCTATTAATGTGTGCGGGATGAATGTCCTTCTGCACACATACACACGCAGGGATTATACGGTCAGTGTGTATGTTCAGACAGGGATTACAAGGTCAGAGCGGCGAGTCTGATCCTCTGGCTGCTGGTTGGTCAGTTGGGCAAATAGCCACAAGAAGTAGAACAAACAAGTACACACAAACACTACAGGAAATGACATCACAGCAGTCAGTGAATGATAAATTCGCTTTCATTCAGGAAAATGATCATCATTCAGACAGATATTCATTTTAAGTGAATGATTAATATGATATTTACAAAACACCCACATTCATGATTTTTCCTCGTGACTAACATACACATGCATTGTGATTTTGTGTCTTTATATGTTAATGGAACCACTATTTTTGAAAATAGGCTCATTTTCCAACTCCCCTAGAGTTAAACAGTCGAGTTTTACCGTTTTCGAATCCATTCAGCTGATCTCCGGGTCAGGCAGGGAGCTGATTATTTTGAATTTTGCAGAACACTAAGCAGTATGCTAGTATCCCATTCTGAATATTTTAATACACAGATTGAACATGGAATTAATTCATAACTGCCTCTGCAGTGCAGAATGGGATTCCAGTTGATACTAGTGCCCCCCATGTGCCTAGAAAGCAAGTGCAAGGACCAAACTACAAGATTTAAAATGCAAGCAGTTTTGTTAAGCTCAGCACTTTGTGTGTGTGCGTGTATTCCATGCTGACTCTGGTTTCTCTAACCCGTTCCTATTACACTCACCCTGCAAATCTCATTAGATGCCCCTCCTGTACACCACGTCCCACCAGTTGAAATAGAGCCTAAGGCACTTTATACCACCATGGAAGCCCCGCCCCATACCACACCCCCTTCTTACATTCTCAGTGAGGACACACCCCTGGAGGAGGGGCCTGTTCATGCACATATAGAAAACAAAGGTAAGTTGCAGGCACTAGTTTGTGTGTGTGTGCTAGTGTTGTTAGTATGCTATAGAAGCATCTTTCAAACACTTGTTTTGGCAGTCAAAGCACTGTAGCCAAGCCAAGAGCTCAGCGACTCTGCTGCCAGTAAGTCATCTACTCAAACGTACCCCTAGAGGATTGTGGGTAACGGCTCCAAAGCAGTGTGCGCAGTGGGAAATCAATGCTCAATTAGACAGTGTTTTCCCCTGTCAAAATATAGAGTGACTTTGCATCTTTCAGCGCAAAGCGGATTGGGGCAGCCTGATAGTATATATATAAACAAAGAATCACCGCATACACACACACATGCTCATTGATCGAAGCGCGCATACGCACCCGAGGAATGAATACTGCATGACGTTTAACGAGTGAACGAGAACTCCAGCTTGAGCTCAGATCAGAAAACGTCAAGCTGGCATGAAAAAACGGAGGGGGGAATAAAGCACTCAGCTGAGACGCAAGACAAAGCAGCTCATCGGATGGATTTAATAAAGGTGGAGATCTTTGAGATTCCCAGCAGGATACTGCGTGCGTGTGTTGATGAAATTAAGCATGGTCGTTGATTACACGCAGGAGTGTCTTTATACCTCAAACAACACCGATCTGTCGTTTGAGATTAATTGTTGTTTGGTTTGTCTGTTTAATGTCATATTCCACTTTAAATGTATTTAGGTACTACATACACATTTGCAACCACATAGCAGATCACTCAGAAGGGCAGTCACTTTAGTTTGAAACTACATTCAAATTAAGAATCACATGAATACAGCACAGAAATAAATGAAGCCATTAAAACAGCTACAATAGTTGCACTTTAGCTATTTCAATTACACAGTTGGTTCTATAAAATGCAAAGACAACAAATAGGTAAAGGATAATGTGACTGAAAGATAAGAATAATAATGATGCGTTAAATAAAACAAAAAATGACAAAAAAATATTACATAAATTTAAACAAAATAATATAAAATTAGTGCCGTCAAATCGATTAATAGCGATTAATCGCATCCCAAATAAAAGTTTGTGTTTCCATAATATATGTGTGTGTACTCTGTATATTTATATGTATATATAAATACACACACATACGTACTGTATATATTTAAGAAATAAATGTAATATATATATACTTATATATATATTTTTCCTCATTAATGTACACACAGCACCCCATATTGACAGTAGCGATTAATCGCATCCCAAATAAAAGTTTGTGTTTCCATAATATATGTGTGTGTACTCTGTATATTTATATGTATATATAAATACACACACATACGTACTGTATATATTTAAGAAATAAATGTAATATATATATACTTATATATATATTTTTCCTCATTAATGTACACACAGCACCCCATATTGACAGAAAAACACAGAATTGTTGACATTTTTGCAGATTTATTAAAAAAGAAAAACTGAAATATCACATGGTCCTAAGTATTCAGACCCTTTGCTGTGACACTCATATATTTAACTCAGGTGCTGTCCATTTCTTCTGATCATCCTTGAGATGGTTCTACACCTTCATTTGAGTCCAGCTGTGTTTGATTATACTGATTGGACTTGATTAGGAAAGCCACACACCTGTCTATATAAGACCTTACAGCTCACAGTGCATGTCAGAGCAAATGAGAATCATGAGGTCAAAGGAACTGCCTGAAGAGCTCAGAGACAGAATTGTGGCAAAGCACATATGTGGCCAAGGTTACAAAAAAATTTCTGCTGCACTTAAGGTTCCTAAGAGCACAGTGGCCTCCATAATCCTTAAAGGGAAGACGTTTGGGATGACCAGAACCCTTCCCAGAGCTGGCCGTCCGGCCAAACTGAGCTATCGGGGGAGAAGAGCCTTGGTGAGAGAGGTAAAGAAGAACCCAAAGATCACTGTGGCTCAGCTCCAGAGATGCAGTCGGGAGATGGAAAAAAGTT